TTTTCTCATCCCTCAAGCCCCAGCCTTCTGAGACCATCATGTTCCTCAGACAGCAGAGTTGGGGAGAAGATCGCTAATGAGGCTCTGGGGCTTTGGATCAAGCCAGACCCTTAAGTGGGCCCTGGGAAACCTAGGAGGTAACTCTTTCCTCACCAGAGTAAGCGCCCCTCCTTACTGAGAGCAGCAGTTGGATGACCAGGGATAAAGATGTAGTCGGGATCGTGTGCTCTCATTTTCTACAACTCTCACAGGGGACTCTGTGATTTTCTTATTTTTGCTTTTATCTGGACCTTGAAGAATGAGTAAATTTCCAGGTAGGAAATGGGCATTTTGGTATTGGAGAAGTGCATGTGCGATCAGGGGGAAATGGGTAAGCACACAGCAAATGCAGGTTATTGTGTGACTTGAAAGTAAAGACTGAGCCCTGCAACACTGGAGGCTCATACGGTAAAGCTATGGGGATCTTTGTGATGGGTGGAACCCAGGCTTCTAACCACAATCATAGTTCACCTCCTCAATCCTAATGTGATCTCTCTCTGTCTCTCTCTCTCAGGAGTCACTGCTAGTATTTATCTTCCTTCCAGGACAGGAGGGTGGGCAGTGGGCTTGGCCAACCAAAGATCTGAGAGCTGAAGAAGGCTGGGAGTCGGGGTATGGTGGTCCTGCATCTGGACATCTTTAAATTACTCTCTCCTACTCCGGTCATTCCCTCCAGGAATAGCATGGAAGGTAACTCTCTGTGGGGTGTGATAGAGACTGAGTCCAGAGCTCCTGGTAGAGCTATCCAACTGGATGTCTGAAGTTGAGAGAAACATCCTAGAAGGAAGGAGTCCCAGGTTCAGAAGCTGGTGGGACTTGGAGATGCCCCACCTGCAATCTCTCCTTCTCAACCCTTCTCCATCCAGCTCCACTTTTGTAGCCCAAGGCCTGATGAACCACTAAGCTGGGGCTGCGGCATCAGGTGGAGCATGACACACGTCGTCACTCTTCGCTGGTCAGCCACTGCCTGCCAGCTGCCCACCTCAGCCTCACATAGCCCCTGGTGGTGCCTCTTTCTGATTCTGCACCACTTTTATTTTATTGGTGGTGGTGGTGGTGGTGTGTGTTTGGGTGGGAATGGGATTGACTCCAGGGCCTTCATCCTGAGCTACATCGCCAGCCCTTTTTATTTCATTTTGAGATGGGGCCTTGCCAAGACACTACCTTGCCTGGACTGGACTCAAATGTGCGATGCCTTAGCCTCCCAGAGTGCTGGACTACAAGTGGGAACCACCATGCCTCGCTTGGCTCTGTACCTCTTTGTCTCTATGTATACTTTGCAGGCTGATTGTTTCTTTTTTTTCTTGTGGGTGCAAGAAAGATGCCAACAGACCAGAGGAACACACACAGTGAAGTAGATCTCCTCACACAAGAGCATAGACTTTGAAATCAGACAGCTGGAGACAAAGCTTAAGGGAAACTATGTGACCCTCTGTAACAGCTCTATCACCATAAGTCTCAGCTTCCTCCTTTATAAGTAACAACGCCTATTGCAGAGCTGTCTTATAACTATCAGAATATAACTATATATAAGTAACAGTATGGCTTGTCTCCATGCCTGTAATCCCAGCAATTTGGGAGACTGAGGCAGGAAGACTGCAAGTTGATCTCAGCATGGACAATTTAGCAAGACTTTGTCGCAAAAATAAAAAATAAAAAGAGATGAGGATGTTGCTCAGTGGAGGAGCACTCCTGGGTTCAATCCCCAGCAGGAAAAAAGAAAGGAAAGAAACAGGGGGTAGAAGGCAGTTGGGAGGGACGGCATACAGGGTGCCCGTGCTCAGAACAGCCTTTGCACAGTGTCAGCGCTCCATAACCAGCGGCAACAGTAGCAGTCGCAGTAGTTGTCCTCCTGTCATTTCACTGCCTTGAGTGCTTTGGGACACAGTGACATCACTAATGCAGGGTAAACACAAGGTAACTTCAGTCTGGGAAAGCAAGGAGGGAGAACTGGGGGCAGGGGATGGGGATGAGGGACCAGGGCTGGACGAGTAGAGGCACCTGGGTCTCCGTGTTAGAACAGTAAGTACATGTGGTCCTGTGTCCTGTGGGCCTCAGTTGCCCATATCCACATGCTTTCTTCTCTGTCCCCCTTTACTTATTCATCCTTGCAGGTAAGTCTTTATTAAGAGGGTGTTTGCCTTGTTTTTTTTTTTTTTTTTTTTTTTTTTTGGTTGCTTTGTGGCACTAGGGATTGGACCCTGGACCTTCCCACTGAGTTCCATCCCCAGTTATTTTATTTTTTTATTTTGAGACAGGTTACCTACCTGCTAAGTTGCCCTGCTGGGTTTGAACTTGGGTTCCTCCTGCCTCAGCCCCCCAGATTGCCTGCCTTATAGTTGTGCACCTCCATGCCTGCCTTCAGCTAAGGTAGAATGTGACCTGAGCATGGTGAGTAAGAAACAGAGACATGACTGAGCACATCTCAATATTTTTGTGCTCTTTAATTCATTAGTGCTTGCTAAATGCAGGGACCACCGTGCAGGGTGGGCTCCATGTAAAGCAATCATTAAAAATCCTGGGGGCCAGCGGATGTTGCTGAGGTATGATCAGCTAAAACCCTCTAAGATGTAATGTCTGGTAACCGATAGAGCTGAAAGCAGTATGCAGCTGTACATGCACCCGTAGCTCCTGCAAGTACTGTGGATCATGCTAGCTTGAAGAGGAGCACAAGAGAGGCTGCTGCTTTTTCTGAGCAAGAACACCAACAACTGTGGGCTGATCTTAGGGTCCCAGAGCCAAAACTCCATGTCACGGAGGCAGATGAAGAATCTGAGACCCAGAGAAGTTGTAACTTGAGCAGCATCATGTGCATATCAGAGGCCAGATACACCCAGATCCAAACCTCCGGCTCTAGCTTGAGGCCTCACCAAAGCCAGCCCAGAGGTAAAGGAAGCTGACCTCATCCTGAGGCTCACTGGATCCTGGCATGCTCATGTGCAAGTGTGCATGGTGGGAGAGCTGGGAAGAGCTTTGCTTTTTTCAGCATTTGGGATTGATCTCAGGGCTTGTGCAGGCTAGGCAAGAGCTCAACACTGTGTTACACCCCCAGCCCTTTTATATATTTTGAGACAAGATATTACTAAGTTGTTCGGGCTGGCCTTAGACTCAAGATCCTTCTGCCTCTGTCTTCCAGTTAGCTGAGATTATAGGCATGCACTACCATGCCAGGGTGAAAGAGCCTTCTTGATGTGTATATTAACCGTGAGTCCCTTCTCTTGAGCTGTCACTATCAATCATGTTGCGCCTAATTTAACAACCCTGCTTAGTGATTTCCAACTCTACATTAAACCAATGTCTCCAAAAGTCTTTATAGGCTCTTAACCCACTAAAAATATCTTTTAATTATACTTTTAGCTGGTACATAAAAACAAAATTATACATGTTGATGGGGCCCCACTTGATTTTTTTTCAGTACATTATATAATGTTTAGATCAAGCATTTCCATCTCCTCTTACACTGGTCATTTCATTATGGTTAAAACATGGCAGTAGAGTCAGATGTAGAAGAGCAAAAAATTTTGTCGGTGCACTGGAGACCTGAACGAACCAGTCAAAGGCCTGGAGCCCGTGGCAATGTCCTGTGCAAGTTCATATCAGGAGGCAAAGGATCCTTGAAAGGAGACCAGGAGACCTACACCAGAAAGACACAAAGGCCCCTGCTGTAGGCTGAAGAGTCTGTGCTCAAAGGCTGAAGGATCTGAGCCAGAAGATGCGGGATCTGCACTGGAAGCCAGGACATGATGCTCAAGATGAAGATGAATACAGAAGCTGCCCAGAAGAAAGAAAAGAGCTGAACTGCCTCCAGAGAAAAGCAGTGGAAACCAACCTCCTCCCAGGAAGATCATGGCTTTCATGGTTGTTGGTGTAGTGGCTCTTGGTCTGAGCCCTACAAAAATAACTTGAAAGTACTGTCAGCTCCTTGTGAGGTGACCAGGATATCTATCATTGGCTAAATATCAAGGGACAACTTCAGTGGAAATGTATTATCACGTCAGCCCTCTCTGGCAATTTCACAGCCTTGCTGGACATCGACCACGGTAGGTAGGTGTGGAAGCAGTGCTCCAACATAGCCATCCCAGGCTTCTTGGAGAGGTAAGCTCAAGTTAGCTTGCCAAGGAGGAAATTACTAAGGATCAGGGGAAGAGAAGAGAAGAGGAGGGGAGAGGAGGAGAAGGGAGGGGAGGGGAGAGGAGGGGAGGGGAGGAGAGGAAAGGAGAGGAGAGGAGATCGTGTTTCTTAGCTGACAGACAACCTTTGGTGGCTGGGTGTGGAGAGGGGCATGACTAGTGCTTTTGGGAAGTAGCTACCATGAAGATGATTAATTACATGTCCCCACCAGCGGTTGACAGTAACATTAATAATAAATATCAAGGAGCCAGCCATGGTGGTGGACTCCTGTAATCCTAACACTCTGGGAGGCTGAGAGCCAGGATTACAAGTTTCAGCACAGACTTGCTATCTTGGCAACTTAACAGCAGCCTGTTAAAAAATGCAAAATAAAGAAGGGTGCACATAGCTCAGTGCAAAGGCCATGGGTTCAGTTCCCCCATACAGCAAAACAAACAAGCCAAGGGAAGAGTCCAACAGAATGTGGAACAACTTGCGGGGGTAAAAGTGGGCTGTGACTCTGAATATACAGGGCCAGATACTTGGGTCACAAACACAGTAGGGCTTGGAGAAGCAAATCCGGGAAAAATGAGGATTGAGTAATTCATGCCTTTATTTACAACAATTCAGCAAACAACTCAGACAAATACAACTCAAATCTTTCATTCCAGGAAACTGAGTTTAGTGGCATTGCCTTAACTACCGTAGGGTCAGAGGTTGCCAGGGGAACAGAAGTCCTCACCCAGGAGGTGGTATGTGAATGGACCACAAGGGAAGAATGGGATGTTTCCTGGTGGGTACTGCAGGGACCGTGGGGGAATTCCCGGAAGCCAGGCAGGATGCGTGAAACAATGGCGCCACATCGGAGTAGCTGGGATGCGGTGTGCAGGGAGAGAGGCTTGAGCGAAGCCAGAAGCCACGTTGCAAAGATTCAGCAGTGCTGTACTAAACAGCACGGATTAGTCCTGAGAGCAAAGAAGGCGAGACTAAGCGGTATCCACACCTGGAGCTGAGGGCAGGGCATCCTAGTTAGGGGAAGTGAGCAGGAGCCAGAGGCTCTGCTAGGAGCCCTTCACAGCCATCAAGGTTCACAGGAGGAGAGGAAAGCGCAGGGAGAGGACGTTAGTTAGGGAGGGTCAGTGACGCAGGTGGTAAAGGAATTTACCCAAAGAGAACGAGGGTTTGTTCAGATCAGAAGCCCTATCACGGGGACAGTGGGAGAGTTTCCAGAAAGGAATTGTGCACAAGGGTGAAAGGTCAGAGTTTTATAAAGGACTGAAGACATGGGAAAGATGGGAGTTAGCAAATACAGTATGTTGGAAATGCATTTCCTGGGCCTCTCGTTCCTTGTAAATCTCCCCAAAACACCTGCATCATAGGGGAGGCTGTACATGAAAGCTGCAAATGGACAGGGTCGCAGAAGGCCCTTCTCACTGGGAGATTTATTTTTATCTCATGGTGCTTTGGGTCAGTGTTAGTGCATTCTCTTATGACTTTGCTTTAAGGGGATGGACTTTGCTGCTCTGGGAGGCTGAGGCAGGATTACAAATTCAAGGCCAGTTTAGGCATTTTATCAATTTAGTGAGACCCTGTCTCAAAAAAATAATAAAAAGGGGATGGGGTTACAGCACAGTCTAGTGTCATGGGTTCAATCCCTAGTACAGCTTTTAAAAAAGTGTGTGATGGGGAGGAACAGGAGGAAAGGGCTGGTGAGAACTGGGAGTACAGGAGTGACAGGGCTCAAGAAGAAACCAGGACTTCTGGAATCACACAGGGCATGGGACACCAGCAGGAATGGTAACAATGGCGTGGCACAGCTGAGTTCTCAGAGGATGTTAGACAGCAGAGGAAGAGGGTGGCAAGTACCAAGTCTCCAGGGAAGTAGAGAGGGGCCTGGGAGCAAGGACTAGACCCCAGAGGCCTGGCATAAGGTTCTCAGGCTCGAGAGCACCACAGACCCACTTCCTGGGAGAGCAGAGTCCCTTTGACCCTGCCTGGCCCACGGGCCTGTCTTCCCTCAGGTCCTCCCGTGAGCCCCTGGCCTGAGTCCAACTGGACTGCACCACAGGAGTTCATCATCCTGGGCTTCTCCGGGTGGCCCCCGGGCCTCCGAGTGCTGCTCTTCACCCTGCTCCTGCCGCTCTACCTGGCCACACTGGCAGGGAACCTGCTCATCCTGGGGCTGGCCCTGGCCGAGCCTGCACTGCACACCCCCATGTACTTCTTCCTGGGTGCACTGTCGGCTGTGGAGGTGGCCTACACGCTGGTGCTCACCCCGCGCATGCTGGCCGGCTTCCTCCTGCCTCCCGGGGGCCAGGCTGTGGCCCCTGCCACCTGTGCTGCCCAGATGGGCCTTTTTGTGGCTCTGGGCGGCTCTGAGTGTCTGCTGCTGGCCGCCATGGCCCTGGATCGCTACCTGGCCATCTGCCGCCCTCTCTCCTACCCTCAGCTTATGACCACAGAGGTCTGCTGGGCCTTCTGGCCTGCTGCTGCATGGCAGGCTCAGTCTTGGCGGCCAGCCTCACCACCGCCATATTCCAGCTGCCCTTCTGCCACGGTGGCCTTGTCAACCACGTCTTCTGTGACCTCCCCGCCGTGCTGGTGCTGGCCTGTGGAAACCGGGAGCTGCAGGAGAACGTGCTCCTGGTGGCCTGCCTGCTGCTGCTGGTGCTGCCCTTGTTCCTGATCCTCCTGTCCTACACCAAGGTGATTGTGGTCATCCTGGGAGTTGGGGATGCTGCAGGCCGCCACAAGGCCTTCAACACTGTGGCGTCCCATCTCACGGTGGCCGTGCTCCACTATGGCTGTGCCACAGCCATGTACGCCAGGCCCCTGAGCAGCAGCTCCCTGGAGGAGGACAAGCTGGTGTCGCTCGTCTACATCAACCTCACCCCGCTGCTGTACCCAGCCATATACACACTGCGCAACAGGGACATGCAGGGGGCCCTGCAGAGGGCCCTCAGCCAGAGGACACTGGGGGAGGCCCACCAGGGGGAGCTAACCTAACCCAGATTGCCCTGCTGATGGGGATCTCCCCATTCCAGAGCTGTCTGAGGCTCCAGGGTGCTCCCTGGAAAGGAATTTGTGGGTGGCATCTGAAGACCTCAAAATCCCACACTTCCAGAGCTCAGTATCTGCTGGCATTTTGAACCTGACAGTTTTTTGTTGTAGGGGACACTCTATACCACAGGGTTTGCAGCCGCCTCACTTACTAGATGGCTCCCCTAAGACTTCACAACCATAAATGTTACTGGAGGACTAGGGTATGACTCAGTGGTAGAGCAAGGCACAAGGCCCTGTGTGCAGCCTGAAAAGAAGTCACTGGACAGTACCCATAGGCTCCCCGGGGGAAAACACCTGCTAGCCGAGAACTGTTGCTCTACGCCTAGCCACGTGGTGTCTTCCGAAGAGAACCAAGAGCTGCTGGACAAGTAGGCAGAAGCATTCCTGACAGAAGACTGGGAACAAATGCCAGCCAGTGTGCGCAAGGTAAAAACAACTCAGAGAGGACTCCCAAGTCAGCCACCCAGGCCCAAGTGTGACTGTGTTACACTTGCAAGTAGCGAAGGCTGCTCGGAGGTGACCTCCCTAAGCTGGGTTTCAGCTCACTCAGTGCATCTGGCTGGGGCTGTGTCTTCCTGAAAACAGGTGGCTGACAATGGACTGGCAGTGTTAGTCACCAGAGGGCATGGCTGAGCTCAGACAGATGAATGGAGATCCTACAGGGCTAAGATGTAAGACAGCATCAGCACTGAGGCCTGCCTGGCTCCAGAGGGAAATCCCTCCCCAGAACAGGCTGCAGAGCAGGTTACTCATTAACTGTAAGCTAAGTCGGGCTGTTCCTGTCCCTTCCACAAGAATGCTTTGTTCCCTGTTACAAGCCTTGCCTCTTGTTTAGCGCATCCAGCCACGATCCCCTCACCATCTTCCTCAATGAATAAATACCAAGGTCTGGGGTCTCATGGCCTTTTGTTCCCAGAGCATAACTGGTTGTCTCTGATCCCTGTGGCACCCTGATTTTGTCTCTCACTCTTTCTTCCCACCATGCATCATAACTCCAGACAGTGGATTGGAGCCCACTGCAGGAGTTCTGGTAACTTGTGGCATATTTACATCATGAAACACAATAATACCTTGTTCTTGCATCTCAAACTCTGCATTGGGTGATGAACTCAAACATGGTCATCTTCTGCAGAATTGTGGAATGAATTCAGTTCATGAACCAAGGTAACAATGTAGTACACAGCTGTTAAAAAGGATGAACTACACCTATCAACTAAAAAGGACACCACGGGTATAATAGTAAGTCTAAGATGTGAGACCCAGAAAACACTTACCATGTTGTTCTACTCAAAGGGCAATGACAAACTAATTCATGGTGGCTAGTGTCCTAAAAATGCCTACCTGGCCACCACTGGAAAGCTTCCTGCAGGAATCCAGCTTAGGCAGAGAGATACAACCAGACCAAGCCCTGTGTCTCTGCCACCACAGCTAGAAACCTTTCCTTCCTCTCCTAGACAACCAGTGGGGACAGGGAGAAAAAAAAAACAGCTATGCCCCAGGTGCATGCAGGCTGCCATTAGAGATGCTTGCTTCCTTTGGGCAGCCAGCACCCACCAGGAGAATCAGACAAACACACCTGTGTGCATGCCACCATTGTGGGAGTCTCAGTGTAGATACATAGACTGAGAGAGGCAGCAGCCCTCCACCACACACCCCTGGCTATCAGGGAAGCCTAAGTATAGCTGCCCAGGTCTGGAGAAGCCTGTCCCACACCCTCGGGCCCCATTCTTCCACACCAAGGAGGGGCAGCGAATGTCAGAAGTGCCTGGAACCCCACAACCAGCTTGTTGGCAGGAACCCAGGAGAATGTCAAATGAAGGAGCAAAAGACAATTTCAGACCTCCAGCCCACACAGAACAAGTCTGCGAGATATGACCATGGAAGTCACACACCTGAAATCTGAGAAGCTAATAACTGAAGTAAACTGACAGTAAAAGTAGTCACAGAAAAATAATACCTCAAAGAAAAGAAGAAATCACAAACATAATGGAAGAATTGCTGAGCATATCTAAAGATAGAGATACAAAAGAGGAGCATAGGAAAATGACAGAAACCTTGACTGAACAATATAGAAAGAAACTGCAATGCATGCAACAGGTTCAAAGAGAGATCCACAAAATTAAAGTCAATCGAGAGCTGGCAAAACAGTTGAAAGTGACTAAAGATAGTCTTGCAGACCTTGAAGACAAGTTTGCAGCTAGCAATCAGGAAAGCAAAGAACTCTTTAAAAATAACAAGGAAACAAATAATTCAATGGCTGCAAGATGATGCAAAGAAAACTAATGTAACAATAACAAATATCAGCAGAAAAGCAGGGATCAACACGTATGACATAAAAAGACTATCTGCAGGAGTAATAGCAGAACACTTCTCAACGTGGGAAAAGGATCTGGCATACGATAAGGCATATAGAATTTCAACTAGCCATAACCAAAATAAATCTACACCCACACATATAATAATCAAGATCACACAAATTCAACACAAGAACAGAATACTAAAAGCTATTAGAGAAAAGAAACAGATCACCTATAAAGGAAAACCCATCAGAATCTTGGCAGGCTTCTTAACACAAATCATCAAGTCAAGAAGAAGGTGGAGTGAAGTATTTTAAGTCCTGAAAGAAAAAAAACTTCCAACCCAGACTGATGTACCCTGAAAAACTATCTTTCAAAACTGATGGAAAAATAAGGTACTTCCATGATAAAGAACAACTGAAGGAATTCAAGACCAACAAGCAACCCTACAGATAGTGCTGAAGGTTATGTTAGAGAGAGATAAAGATGACTATGGTTCCAGCAACAGAGGCAGAGAGAGATAACCAAACAGGACAAGCAACTGAATGAAGGGGAAAGTGGAGGGTCAACAGCAGGAGGAGTATGGAAGAGACAAACCAATGTATACCGGTTGTAACCATTAATGTAGAAGGCCTCAGGTCAGCAATAACAAGAAACACAGGGAGAGTGGATTAAGAAATAAGATCCACCAATATGCTGAATATAAGAAACACATTTAACTCAAAAGGAAATTCATAGACTAAAATCAAAGGAGAGAAAATAATTGTTCCACATGACAGGAGACCAGAAAAAAGCAAGGATAACTTGCCCAGAAACCACAGACTGAATAAGAAAGATAACGGTATTTTCATAAAATGGATAGCTACTCAGCTATAAAATAGGATAATCTTAAGGCTCTTGTAGGTAAATACATACATTTAGGAGATCATGATCATGGGTGAAATGGTTTGGACTCACACAGCTGAACACTGAGTTATCTCCCTATCATAAAAAAGTAAAACAGTTAGTGGGATCAAATAAAGCACAAGAGACCTAAAATGGTAGGGGAGGAAATACCTAAAAAGGGGAAGTGGTAATCACTATTAATTTCCTATTATCTTGCTTTAAATTCTTATATTATTTTCATAATTTTTTAGGTTTAATTTTATTGTCTCTTGTTCTGTTAGATTTTACTGTGTCTCATGGTATGGGCAGCTACTTTGAAGGTAACAGAATGTATTATTGTAGCCATTGTTGATTTTTTTATAATCTTGTTTTGAAGTCCTATAATGCTTTCATTCTTTTGTTTTGATTGGATTATTCTGTTTTGCTTTATTTCATTTTATTATGTGTGATGGTATGGACAGCTATTTTGAAGAAAACAAGAGACATTATGATAGATGATAGCCAGTTGTTTTCCCGTTGTCTTCTTTTGAAGTCCTATATTGCATGCATTGTTCTGTTCTTATTTGCTTTATTTGGTTTGGTTTGGTTTGATTCTCTTTAACATAAAATAAAATTTAAAAAAAAATGCTTACCTGGGTTTGAGGAGCAGGCGGGGGGATAGGGCAAATAGTCTAGGTGCAGGAAGAGTTCTGTACTTTGGTTTGGCTCGAAATAATACGAGTATGTACATGTGCAAATGTTTATCAAGAGGTACATTGAAGACTTGTGTCCTTTAAGATGTGTAAAATAAACTACAGCTAATTCCAACTATTTACAAGATGCAGCAAGCCTTCGCCCACTCCGGCCTGTCATGCTGTTGGATGGCCCTGGTGTGCCCAGTTCTTGCTTGTGAAAATCCCTAAGATTCTGGGATCTACCCTAATACTGCTTTCCTCTGAGAAGCGCTCCTGGGTACCTACACATCAGGTACCCAGTTAATTTTAGCAACTACTTCAGTAAACACCCAGCCATTATTAGAGTGTGAACTCTTTAAAGGCAGGTTTTCAGGTAATCTTATTTTCAAGATCCATGAATTTGACAGCTTTTAGTATTTGATGGAGGACTAAACCACAGAAAAGCTCTGGGTTATTTGGCGATTTAAAAGATTGTGCCCTTTGGGACAGAGCTCTGGAACCATACTGAGAGAAGAACATGTGCCTTGTAGTCTTTCTTTCTTTTCTTCCCTTTCCACTTCTCTTTGTACTGGAAACTGAACCCAGGGCCTTCACCCTGAGCTATATGCCCAGCCTTTTATATCTTGCTAAATTGCCCACGGTGAGCCCCAACTTTCCAGCCACCAGCCTCAGCCTCCCAGAGTAATGGGGTTACAGGTGTGTACCATCTTGTCCAGCTCCTGGAGTCTCCTTGGGAGGCACATCAGAGCCAGCTGTGAGGAATCTGTCAGCTTGGTAGTTGTTGGACCCAACTTACTGATGCCAACGCACTCTGAAAACAAAGGTTTGTAAGTTGGTATAAATAACAGTTTTCCAAAAATCTGAGAAGACCAAGCCCAGAATGCAAAATTCCATGGAACTTTTCCCTAAGATGTTACTAACAACTGTCCTCAGCCTAAAGACACCCCCTGAAGGCCCTAAAAGTTTTAGGGCAGCATCAGCGCAGGTAAATTCTGCCTCCCACCTGGCCTAACGACTGTGTAACTCTGCGAATGCTGACTTGGAACCCAGGGAGCACTGTACCTGGTTGGGCGCGATGGTGCCAGTG